TATCGAGTGTGAGGTGATGGGGCTGAAAAAATGCTCTTTTTGATTGGTATGCACTTATGAGAATGTGTCAGTAGCCTTCTTTAGTATCATTAGAGTTCTGGTTTAAAAATAATAATAACAAGCCACACGTTCATACCGCAGGCTGGGGAAATAGAACTTATCTATTCCTAGAGGAAAGAGAGTGACAGGCTTGAGGGTTTTCCTAGCTGTGCATTTCAACTGCTATCGAAAATGTAAGAAAACCAAGCATATCAGTTACGTTCCTCGAGCTGCTGAAAGGCAATTCTGTCTAACAGTTCAACCTCAACTCCATTTGTAGCAGTAGTCCTAAAATGCTCCCGAAAGAAACAAAAACAGAAGGGGAAAGGATACTAAAGACCACTGTAGACATGAAGTGCGTGTTAGTGTTAAGGCAGGTGAATACATTTAATGAAGCAGATTGTTAAATACTGTCTTAAATAGTGCATATTCCGGATAAAATATTACATTTCAGCCACAGTTACGTCTGTTACAGGCTTAGAAATAAACATTGGTGTTAAGAATATGAAGCTTAAACTTCTCGTCTCATTGAATTGATCCTCCTTTTGCAAAGAGGAATAAAATGTACCAAACTCATAGAAGTCTCTAAAGTTAGGGCTGAAACTGATAAGTAATGTGGGTATAGAAATTACTAAAAATCATTTTCGAGTACATAAGGTCAACCATGAAGGTTAAACTATATTTTTAAAAATATTGTCATTAAATCAGCTGTTTTAGAATATGACTAGTGAAAGTGGCAAGATCAGAAGTACTAATAGTAGTGGTGGGAAAAACTTGTCAAGAATGGAGGAAAAACTAGAAAATATTGGTCTTTTAATAAAGAGCAATTTAGGAAGCTGCAGTTCTGCTTTGCCTGTTTCAGGACAGCATGATGGCATCGCACTCTGTCAGCACAAGGTGGTTCGGGTGTTTTTCCTGTCTGACACTACTGACTGGCTCAGGTAGCCCACAGCTGCAGGTGGCTCTGACAGCTGGGGGCGGGAGGACCACTCATGAAACATGATGCCGATGATGGAAAATTGATCGTGTGGTTTCTCACCGGGGATGCGTTGTACCCCTGCTGGTCTTAAACCCTGTCCTCATTTTGTTAGCACAGCCTTTACTCTCACATGTAGGTTTGGAGTGGATGCTGCTATTCCAGGTTTTCAGTGTCCAGCATCTGCGAAGTGCTGAGGAACCAAATTCAATGCATTCAAAGTAACAAAGTTGATTGTTCAGGGAATTTGAAAACTAGATGGAAAAAAAAATCCATGAATAACTGTATAGTACAAGTAGATTGGATTTGATGTTCCATCAGTAAAAGCTGTAAAATACATGAACACGAAAGGGAGAAATGAATTTCTCAGTGGAGGGCGAGCAGAAGGACAAAGCAGGGATAATCTCAGAACTTCTGGTTTCTTGGGACTCATTGAAAATGGGAAAATTTTCTCCTCTGGAAATGTTTGATTCCACTGTCTGGGGAACGATGGCTTTATAGGAAATGAGCACAGAACTGTTTGCTTTGATTGATAATGCCACTTACCTAAAAACTGTGAGACTTGAGCCTGAAGTCTTCAGAACTTTTATCTTCTTTAAGTGGCCCGTTTGCATGAGATGAGCATTTGAAATTACAGTACAGGGGATGATTTTTCCATAGATTAGTTGTGAAAATAAAATGATACAATTAAAACTACCTGTTTTGAATATGCAATTTATATCACAAATAAAATAGCTTGCAAGTATTCTAACAGAATTTGGGACACTTCTTTGAAATATTTTATTTTCTTCATTGGAGAACAAAAATTCAGTTTGATTCTTTCCACCATGAATTTGTGTCAAAGAGATAATGCAAGAGGAGTGTTGTTAAAATCTATGGGGATTTCTAGTAAGTAGGGACACAGCAGTCCAGGAAGGTATTAGAACTTTCAGAATTCAGAACAGCAGAGTGGGCTTGCAAAAAGGAAAGGAATGTGCATAGCCTGGGTACTGTGCACCAGGCATTGTGCTAGATGCATTTCTTAGTTTATCTAATCTTAATCTCTCCATCCATCCTTTACTTTCTTTCTTTGTTTTTTACTTCCTTTATTTTTTTCTCCTTTCCTTGCTTTTTATCTCCTGCTTCTTTCCTTTTGTTTCATTAAAGTTTTTTTAAAGCAAATTCTAAAGATCATATTATTTCACCCCTGCATATTTAATCTATATCTCTAAGCAATATGGACATTTTTCCTTTTATCACCACCATACCATTATCACACCCAACAAAATGATGATTTTTTTTTTTGGTACCATCTAACACCCAGTGTATAATCTGAGCAAATGTCTTTCTGTGATGGGCTCATTTGAATCCAGATCTACACATGGTTCACACATCGAGGTGATTGTTGTATCTCTTGTCTCTTTTGAATGAGACCAGTTCCCCAACCCAATTTCCCCCCCTCCTATTCACTGGCTGCAGAGACTACTTGGTTGCCCTATAGAATTCCCACATTCTGGCTGTTTGCTCCCTTGTGTCATTTTAATTTGTATCTTTATCCCTCTCATTTCCTACAAACTTTAGGTTAGCTCCAGGGGCTTGATAGCCTTGAAGTTCAATTGTCTTTGACAAAAATTCTTTAAAGGTGGCCTGTGAGCTTTTTCTTTGTCCTATCAGGAAACCACAACATCTGATTATCTCACATCTGGTGATGCAAAAGAGAACTGCCTCTGTTCCTAACTGACTTTTCATGAGGGTTTCATCCACTGATGATATCTGCCTGAAACAATTATTTTCTTAGGGCCTGCCTGCAAAGTGGTGATTTTCTAATTATGTCATCTCTCCCACATTTATTAGTTGTGTTTGTTTCTGGTAAAACAATCTTTCCCTCATCAGTTCAGGCTATCTGGCTACCCTGAAATACAGTTTATCTAGGAAAGGTAGGATAAATTCTTATTTTTATTCCCTCTAATTGCTAGATTTTTAGTTACAGGGTTGGTGCTTTAGAGGAAGCTTTTTTTCTTTTTCTTTTTCATTTTACAGATAGAGAACTTGAGGCTCAGAGATGTCAAATAAATTGTTCAAGATCTCCAAAAGCTATTAAGGAGCAGAAATGGTATTCAAACCAGTATCTTCTGGTCTCAAAAGCATGTGCTATTTCTACTAAACCAAAACTTACCCCTGCCTTTAACCCTTCAATTACTGACAGTGAGGAGTGGCTGCTGCAAGTATCTCCCCCTGCTTTGCCCTTTAGGAACCAGCCTCCAAGAATCCTCCTTTGCAGCATTCTAGGCTTTATAAACTTATGCAATACTCCAGAACGATGGCTCCGAGTAGAGGTGCTGGCCTGGCTGGGCCAAGAACTGGGCAGAGCCAGGAAACCGGTCACACTGTTTCTATTTAGAAGGAGAGGCTTTAGCATCACAGTTTGTGCTTTAGGCTCCTGCGACAGACAAAGCGTGAGTCACTGTAAGTTATGGTTGGAGCAGATATCAGTGATCCGAACAATTTGGAGAGTTGGCAGATGTTAAAACATTTTAACATTTAACTCTCCTAAACCTTTTTCTGTCTCTTCTGTCACCCCCATCCTCTCCTATTCCAGATCTGAGGGGAGTACTCAGGTAACTGCCTAAACATTGTTTTACAGTTCCTAAACCTCTGTTGGCTGTATGTATTCCTGGCATCTGCCCCCTACCCCGAAAGCCCATAGACCTTTAGTATCTTAAAATAGTTAAAGAAGCAGAGACCACTTAGTGAGTTAGGGAGATCTTCTCAGCTGTGTGGTGTCTACATCACGGGCTTCTAGCGCTGGAGTCTGTGACTCAGAGAAAGCATATTTCCCCAGATTTCATACAACCCAGAGGTACAGAATCTTTTTTAGTGTCCTCCACATTGAACCCTCCCACCATCGTGGCAGTCTGCGTTAGAAACATACAAATAGCAAACTCTCAAATTGTGGTTGGAGAAGTTCCCTGTGCTTATTGTGGCTGCAGGCCCCGTCTCAGCCTCTGCTGTTCCATGACATGCCTCCAAATAAAGGAGGGCCACACTCCTGCTGTCCCAGGCCAGCACCAGAATTCTCTAAATACCTACATTTTACACATCAGGAAAAAAAATAAAGCAACTATCTGTATCCTTACAGGGGACTGTAATTAGTGCCACGAAAACGTGCTATCAGTTTCAAATAGCAGTCCCCTGAAGCAGTTCTCTAGAAAAAACAGGAAAGTAATTCTATAATCTGCCTTGCAAAGATAAATCAGAGACAGAATCTAGAAATAAAAATGGAAGAAGAGGATGAAGAAATGTTGTCATTCAGAGCAGCCACCATAAAGTTATATTTAAATGCTGGGCTTCCTTACAGAATATCTGGCCCAGTGCTGTCCAGTAGAACTTTCTGTGATGATGGAAATGTTCTGTATCAATAGGGAGACCACTAGCTGTGCGTGGTTGTTGAGCACTTGAAATGTAGCTATTGCAACTGAAAAAAATTTTACTGCATTTTATTTTAATTAATTAAAATTAGAATTTAATAGCACACGTAGCTGGGGTTACTGTATTGGACAGTGCAGGTCTGTCCCTTGTAGTCCTAACTTTTTCTTTCTTGTAATAGTATACACAATTTGAAGCTGTTATAAAATTGTTTGAAAGTCAAAAGTCACCAATTTCACCCATCTTATTGATTAATTTTCCTTATGGAATTAGATTTGTAATGACTTTGAAATTCTAGCCTCCTTGTACAAAGACAAACTTTTATTTTGAGACTCACTTCAAGGGAAAATTAATTATGCTCAAACTTTTATTTTTAAAATTTGTATAAATTATATGCTTTAGTGATGATGGTTCCAATAGTGATGAGAAGGCACTTAATGCCACTCAACATGTAGAAATGGTTAAAATGGCAAATTTTGTCTTAAATATATTTTAGCACAGTAAAAACATTATATGCTTTATTTTCTTTCATTGGGCCTGATTTTAACTTAATTTTGTTAAAACTTCCCACTGCCCACAGGCCTTGCTGAGAATCTGGTCGAACGCGTTCCTGGCTGCAGCGTGTTTCTCTTTGGTGAGGCTGACCTGCCTGAGAAGCGCTCTCTTGTCCAGAGAAGAAAACAGCTGGGCTGGTTCACAAGGAGGGATTTCAGTGCTCTTGAACCTGACCTGAGAGTTGCACCTGCTCGGAGATGTGGTTTAACAGGTTTGCAGTGTGGCTTTATTCTATTTTTGTTTCTAAACTTGAGAAGGGAATCCTGAGGTCCCCTTCATTTAGTCCCTCCCACGTAATGCAGGAGGGTTGCTGCTGGGGCTCCTTCTTGAACCGGTTGAGGGTCTCCTCTCGGCTCTTACTCTTACCCACGCCTTCGATAAGCTGACCAGAGAGGCTGGAAGCCCTTATCAGATATTCAGTGAGAGACCCCAAGAGTGATGTTCAAGATAAATAACCAGCCCTGCAGCGTGGCCAGTGATGATGAGAATGGTTGACACTGGGGCAGGTCCTGGAGGCCTGCCGTTGTACCAGGGGTGAGGTTGGATCCTGGGCTGTGATGGGGACGGTACTTTGGTAGAGCTTACTTTTAGCTGGTAAGAAAGCCTTTCAGTACTTGAACACCCAGTGTGGCCATGCTGATGCTTGGAATTAGCTTGAACTCAGTTCTAGAGGTACCCTGGAGAGAAGCTTTTCTAGACAACCGACTTCTAGAACAGAGAGAATAAACACCGGGAATAATATTCTCCCTTCCCCTGGATCTCCCCTACTCCAGCCCTCCCCCTGCTTAGGGCTTCCCTTGGGAAAAAGCAGTAGTGTCCCACCCAAAACTCCATCCCCATTCTCTTCCCTTCACCATCCTAGTGCCTTTTGTTTGAGTCTTTTTAGTATCAGATATCTTCTGTGGAGATCACAGATTAAACCATGTTAGGTACCATTTTTGAAGTCAGTAAATATTTTAGCAATTGCTAGAATGCTAGGTCCCCAAGGAGCAAGAGGTGGGCAACCATAAGAAAGACATTTCCTCCTGGCACAGCTTTGCCGCAGTTCCACTTAGGCTTTTGGTTGCTAATCCCTGGTGCAGAGTTCTGCTCTCAAGCCAAAGATACCTGGAATCAAGTAGAGCTGTGAAGTAAAATCAACACAGGCTTTGAGGCTGGGCTCAAATCCTGGCCTTGCTGTTCATTGGCCTTGTGACCTCTGAGTGTTCCTTAGTCTCACTAAGCTTCAGTTCCCGTATCTATAAAATGAACATAATTTTATCTCCTTCATGAGACTGTGAAGTTGAAATAATGTCTATTAAGTGCTAAACACAGTACTAACAGGCCATTTTTTCTTCCTTGTAGAGAAAAGACTTATAAAAAAGCAATTACAAATGTGTTTTAGTATTTAGTTATGGAAAAAAGGAAGAAACTGATTGCTCCCTGCCAATTTGAACCTCTCATATTTTCCCACGATTTGTCTCACAAACGTAGAAGGGTATGTTTGTAGCTAAATTTTCAGAAAGCTATTTCCTGGTTTCCAATTTGAGCCCCGCCAAAGACCAAACCTGGTCAGTGCAGTGCCTGGTGACTGGGATTCCAGTCAGTGGGCAGGAATTGGAAGCAGGAATACTGGTATTAGAAGACAGAACTGGCTGTAGTCTAGGTGAGGCAATCCTTTGAAAGCCTTAATTCACATTTCTGCAGTTCTGTGAGAATAAATGGGAAAAACTTTAACCTGGTATAAAAAGTATATCTGAGTTTAAAGACTAAATGTTCACTTTGTCACTAATCATCTTTAGTCTTCTAAGGACAAACTCGGTTTGCAACTGTTTAAACCAAAGTGAACAGTGCTCTCCCGTCTCACCTCATGATTGTCTGGGGTTGGGATGATCTCACCTATTTTACCTTATTTGATTGAAATGGACACCTCATCGGGATTTCTGATTTCTTCTCTGTTTTCACTCCACACGGAGATCTGTGATTAACATGGAGAATTTTATTAACATATGAAAATCCTAAGTTTACTTTAATATGCCAAGATTGGCACAAAAATGTCTACAGATAACATTTGAAAGGTCATATTTGATACTGGTAAGGATGCAGAGACACTCTTATTACTAATGGTAGCATCAGGTGGGGTAAACTTCTGAGAAGTGAGGCAGTGATGTCTAACAAGAGCTCCAAAAATATACGTAACTGCTTTGCAGAGATTCTAGTTTTAGTGATAGATTTATTCTAAGGAAGTAGATTTATTCCTAAGGAAACAATAAAAGGTCTATGTACTTAAGCACAAGTGTGTTTAATCACAGCATTATTTATAATAGTAAATACTGAAAACAACGTAAATGTTCAATATTTGAAAGTGATTAAACTATGGCATACCTAGGTGAAGGGCTATTATGCAAGCAATTAAGCATGAAATTTTGGAAGAATTTTTAAACATAGAAAATACAATACAATGTAGAGAGAATTTGTAGTTTATTGATTAATGCAACAAGTATTTATTAAGTAGCTATTATGTGCCAGGCACTACCATCAGTGGGAAATATAGAATTTATGTGCCTCAAAAAACTTCCCCCTTTCCAGTGGGGAAGGGGTGAAGAGAGAGACAATAAATAACAAACTTAATAAATAATGAGTTATATAGTATGTCAGAAACAAGTACTACCGCCAAAAAAAAAAGTTGAACAAGACAGTGGGCATCTAGTGAATTGTGATTTCTAAACAGGACAAACCGAAATAGGCCTCATTGTGAAGGCAGCGTTGGAGCAGAGACTGGGAGTGAGGCAGTCAGCCATGCAGAGTGGTAGACAAAGTCCTCAGGCGGAGGGAACAGCCAGGGTCAAGGCCAAAGGGTATAAAGTAGTATAAACAGTATGATCTCAATATTAAAAAATATATATGCATCTATTTGTTTTACTTATCTTATATATTTGCAAGAAAAATGTTTTAAAATTCTTAAATCTTCCAACTTATTTTCATGATTTCTCTAACCTGATCTTGTGATTATTTTCTATCATCTTTCATAAAGGGTGATTAGTAAAGTTTCTCAGTGGTCAATTTTATAAAAGCTGAGTTTCAATGCATTAATTCAGATTGCTGATGAAAGATTCAAGATAAGGAAAAAATAGCACAACTTTTCCCCCATATGTCTTTTTTTTGCTAATATCTCCTACCAAGTGGTAGGAACCTTAGTTTGTGCAAAACACATGAAAATTATAAGATGCCAAGGTTAGGTAGACCGTTATTCATCGAGAGACCCTCTCACTTAATAGGCTCAAAGCAGATTCTAATAGAAAGATAAAATGTTTCAAGGAGGAACAATGAATAAGGGATATGGATAAACAATTAGCTTCTAATATTGCACGAACAAGAGTGTAATTCGAGTTTAAGACATACAATCAGCCAAAATCTTAGGTTACCTTACTTGCACAAACTCTCCCTTAAGAAACACTTAAGTAAAGGAGGAGCAAAAAGGCTTTGATTTTTTAAAGAAATATCTACTGAAGTAGGATTGTAATAACCCTGTCGTTAGGGTAGAAATGTTATTTGTCTTATTTTTCAATGAATTTAGACTTTAACCATGGTGATTTCTCTTCTTATTTTTAAATTTAATGGCTTTGTATATTTTTCTAACATTTTTAATTTACATCAGTGTTTCTCGACATAGTTTTCCACTCCTCCCATCAAAACAGAAAAGCCTCAGCATATTGTTGCTGTATTTATTTCTTTTCCAAAAAAATTAAATAGAAATGATTGGTGCTATCAACTGAACACTTACAGTTAACTTTCCAGTGACAAATTAATCTACACAGTACGCAAGAGGAAGCAGAATCTATAAGGAAACAGGTTTCTGTTTTGAAGTTCCCTGAGAGTATTATAAACAGAAGAGAAAAAAGTGAACTCAGAAATGATTAACACCCATAGTCAGTGCCAAACACACAAAATCTTTTAAACCAAATTCCTTTTAAAAGTTTGTAGTTGGCCAGCTCATGGGGAACATAAATAAGGACAAAGCAGCAATAATTGATACTTTTAGATCTATAAATAAATACTTTATACATATGTATTTTAAAACCCTAAACATTTATGGAGTAAGTTAAACACTGTTGGCTGATATATTGTGTGACTGGCCTGCGTATATGCATCATTGTTTAAAAATACAGGGACAACTCTTTGAACTATAGCCTCATGATGCCTTAGGAATCGTAGATGGAGGTAATTGGTACATCTTGGGATGAGGGACTTCTGTTTAGGTATTTAAATGGGTTACTGAGAGTTGCCTCTGCTTTCTTCTCTCTCTGTAAATGAGAAGTAGAGCGTCAGGCACTTTTCCTGACTTTAAATAACTCAATGTACTTCACACACAAAATTTTACCTCGCCTTTGAAAAATAACTTCTAGTTTTAGAATGAGTCCTGTGTTGAGGAACCTGTTTTCATAATTTTTTACATTTGCTTGTGAATCTAGTTGGGATGATGGAAGATGAAAGTCTCGATCTGTAATAAAGTGTATAACCTGTAATTGAAACATAAAGGACTTCGGTTTTGTCTCTGTGTGAGCTGCTGAAAAGCGCTGTTCTCCTGCAGAAAACTGGGAGCAAACAAGTCCCCTGAGGTTCCTCTCACCTGGGCTGCTTCATTCCATGATGATGTTAACTTGGATCTTCTTTAATTTTCTCTCTGAATTACTGTTACTCTGTAAAATTCGGAGTTGAGAAATTGAGGCTCAGAATTCCTTACAGAGCAGGAAGATGTCATAGTCATTTTACAGAAGGACAGCTGAGCAGAGGCAGTGCCCCTGAAGAGGTGGAACTTGAATTCAGACCCACGGGGAGCCATTCCCGGCCCTATGCTACATGGTATCACTTAGCTTTCTTTCCTGTGGATTTGGCCACATGCATAAGGGTTCTGCATTCTTCACGCCATGGGAACATCGGACTTAGCAATTATGTTTGAGTTTTATGGCTTTAGTCATCAAATGTCCTGTTTCAGCTGCGGTTTCTCTTTAGTACACACTCTAAAAAATTTAAATGTAATGATGACTAATTGCTTTTGGTAATAATAACAACTGGTTTATATTTTTGAATCTGAGTTCCGAGTCTGTTTTCTTGCTCTATTTGTTACTCTGAAGCTAGGTTTTATCTTATTTTAACCTTCTTCATGTTTTTGCACACAGAAACCTGCATGGTTCCTGGTACTCAGCAGGATTTCAGTAAAAACATGTTTACTGAGGAAGTTGAACATTAGTTCATGAGAATCTCTTTATTCCTTCAAACTGTAATATAATCCACAAATTTGAAGTTCTCTCTTCACCTATAAAAATGCCGAATATCCCAGAATACCACCTCAGCTCTCTCCTCATGCATCTTTTTAAGCTAGCCATCAAAAAAGAGTTTAATATAATGAATAGAACTTATAAATACATCCTTCAGCAACTTCTGACCCCCTAAAATGAAACCCTTTCTGTGGACGAAAATATATAGAATCTTTTCACCTTTAATTGATTGAAGATGATGGTGCCTGGAACTGTTTTTGAGATTAATTTTGATCTAAAGGAAAAAAAATCCATGCATTTCGTCAGTGCTGCTTTTTCATTTTTCTAATGGGCTCTTCGCTATTGTTTTGTCTGAATGCAGTTTTTTATTTGTGTTATTCCAGACGTGGTCCTACCACAAGCATCTTTAAACCAGACATTAATAGCATAGTTCACAGTCATTACTGCCAGTGCTCAAACACAAATATTGCATTTGTGTTTGCAAAAGCTACACATCAGATGTTAATTAAGTGCATTTGTTTTTTTTATGCTCAAACAATCTGGCATAAAGAGTTTACATCTATATCAGTTCACCATAAGGTCTCTACAATATCTGAATCACCAGCCGTACAGTATATGATAAATACAGTGTTTCCACACAAGAAAATAACAGAATTGTCAGGAAAACATCAGGCCTGTTATACTTCCCTGTGAAATAATAGCAACTGAATCTCAGTTTCTTTTTCTTTTTGATAAAAAAAAAGTATTTAACTGGGAGTAAACACCAATATTTAGAATGATAAATTTTTCATTAAAGAACACATGGAAAGCAAAATCATACCAAAGATTTTTTTGCCTTGTTTTTAGCTTGCTTCAGGGCGTTGTGACAGTTGCATTGGAATAAAATTGGAATTTCAGCTTTGCAGTGAGGAGATTCATGCTGCCGCCAGAGCAGCCGAGTGCCAATCTGCAGGAGGCAGAAGCCGAGCGAAACCGCAAACTGAGAAACAAACTTTCACATCAGGTTTCTAATTTTAGAGCAAAAAATGGAATTACTTTAATTATGTGACATTTAACTAGAAATACGATATGCTGGGATTAATTAGCTCCCTTATTTAAAAAATTCTTACTAAGTTTAAATTAACATTAAAAAAATCAAATTCAGCATTTTAAATAAGGTCAGTGGGACTGCTGGATTTAAATGCAGAATTTGGTTCATTAGAATTGGATCACCATATTGGTGTTGGACTTGGGAAGGATTAAATGGAGGAATTAAAAAAGCGTGCATTTGAGCAGAAAGCAGTTTTCCTTCCTTCCTTCCTTCCTTCCGTCCTTCCTTCCTTCCTTCCTTCCTTCCTTCCCTCCTTCCCTTCTTGCTTTCCTCCTTCTTTTGCAGAAATGAGTCATGGCCTCCTAACCCCTCAGGGAGGAAACTCCTACCTGATTAGGTCAGAAACGTCTCAAATTCATTGACTGCCTCTGTTTTTTCACTGCTTGAATAAGATATGGTGATAAAAAATAAATAATTGCTTAACTAAGGTTTAATAGAAGAATTAAAATATAATAACAAGGGCATATAGAAAAAATGATCATTCTGTGTTGTTTAAATGATTACCTCTTGTTTACGAGAGAATATAAAAGTTACTTCTAATGTTTAATTTTATTTTTCTAAGAAATAATTAACTTTAAAGTATGCTTTTAAAGGAATCTTTTAAGTAGAGTTTTATTTTAATTAAGCACATTAGTGTTGGGATAAGTGTATTTTATGGAATTCGTGCTCTGGGCTTAACATCTCAACTTATTGTATCTTTAATAGTTTATCTTAGTGATGAGTTTGTTTATTAGCAAGAATGATCAACTTTGGAAATTCTATGAAAAAGGGACAGTTATTGGGCACATGGTGGTAAAAGGTGCCTTGGAATTTGCTGGATGGAGAACTCAGAAAAAGTCCCATGTCTTTAGGGATGGAATGGCCTATGCCGTCATACTGTGGGGAAGAAGAGCCCTGGGTCCGTATGAACAAACTTGCCTTGAAAGAGACTTGCTCCCCCATGCTGATAAATTGCATGTGGTTATCTGAATGTTAACTGACATATCTAACTTCTGGGACAGCAAAGCACAATAGGCTTGATAGGTATTTTGAACAGTACTTAGTGTAACCCCATATATGTATACTCTTCAGCCAAGTCTGAGTGTGGTCCAGCTGTTTGTTTGAATAACGATAAAGATGAGGCCACTTCTTGGGTCAGAATAGGGTATGTATATCAGATACAAGGAAATGGGACTGTTTGTAACATTACCTGTTGAGGGGTGGAGGAGAGAGAAGCCATGCCTGGATGCTCTCCGTTAATGAATGACATTAACATTGACAAAAAAAAAATTTCCAGTTGTACTCTGTGAAATGTTAAAACTGATATAATTCTCAAAGATATTTAGAGCAAGTAATTGGTATATGAGGTTGAGAGAGAGATGTATTGACTGTTAGGAAATTTAATTTTTATGAAATCAGCATTAAGGAGAAATCCTGTAATCTGATTCATTCCTGCAGAATTCCCAGTAGGAAGAGGCCCAGCCTCGGGAGTTGAAATGTTTCATTATGTACATGTATGGGAAAAAGATGAAATGCGGTTTCCGTGTGCTGATTTTCTGTAAAACATCTATTAGTATGAGAGTACCCAGGCTGGGCAGCAAAGCCCCCAAACCACAGCTGTCTAGGGGGAAGTGAATTCAGCAGGATCTCTCGATGGCTACTGACACCATGAGCAATAAGTTTGAAAGTAGCAAGAAAAAGCAATAACAGTAAAATCATGTAGAAATAGTAGCTATGGAATTGTCATGCTGAAGATGAGGTCAGTTTTTTATCCCCCAACAATCCTAGTCAACTTTGCTTTTAGAAATGTGAAGTTCCCCCAAAATGAAGAAACTGCAAACCCAAGCTTTTTATATCGATGCTAATTTAACCGAGTTGTCCATCTTATAATGTAAACTATAATTAGAGCAGGGCTATGTATGTAACACGAGCTGCATCGTTCCCCAGGCAGGGGAAAGCTGGGCATTTGCCCCCGGGCTCTAGGGTAACAGCGCTCTGGAGCAGCAGTGGCAGTCCCCGGGGATGGAGGAAAGAGGTGCCTCCAACGGGTCGTACTAAGAAGGTACGTGTAGAGGCCTGAACCCTGCCAAACCCACATCGTCACGAGACACAAGAGCCCCTTTGTCCTTCCCAATTGCAAGGTTATTTGTCACTTTTTGGTGACCTCCTTTCCTAACCAAGACTGTTGCTGAGGCTCATTTGGATCAGATCTTAACGTAGCTCAGTGATGACAGGCCTGAGTTTGGGGAGGAAGGGAAGGATGCAGAGTGTGATTTACTCCTGTCTCCCGGACCCTGAGGTCTGGCACTGAATTCCAGCCCCCGTGGAGATGGCCTTGGAGATGGATGGAAAGCCAAGACGTTTTGCTGCTGTTGGTATTTAATTCTCAAGTGCGCCTTTTTCTGTTGAATATTTTGGAAAGTCTGGGTTCTTCCTAACCATTCTAGAAGAAACATACGGTACATTTAAAGTAGATAAAAGTATCCGCTCGTAGCTCACATAGCTCTGTTATTTAAAAATATATGCGACCTTCAGAAAATTCTGGAGTTGATAATGAGGAATATTTGTATAATTTTAAAATGAAACCGAGTAAAGGAAACTCCTTGGGTTAAAATTGGCTACAGAATAGAATCTTCAGAATGAGGCTTTTGCTTTGCTTGGTTACAATGCTTTTCTAATGATTTAGGCATCGGCGCCAGCCCATATGTGATGAACTGCAACGTTACCATCGACTCTCAAGACTTGGCTCTGGGACAAGAGATCGCTAGTGCCATTCGGGGCTCAAATGTGAATGGACTGAAGGGTGTCCAAACGATGGCTTTTCCTCACGAAGGGAAGATTGAGATAGCTTGCAACGTAGAGAGTTTTGAAGAACATGAAGTTAAGGAAAGCTCAGAAGACTCTCGATACATGGCTTACAGTGTTCTTGGGGATCATTTTTATTATACATCTCCTCATTACATAGAAGCTCGGGTTAAAAAGTTGGCAAGTGACCAGGGAATTGGCACTATAGGGAGAGCGCTGATTGGATTTACACCCCAAGAGTGCAAGGACTGTGCCGAACACGCTATAAAGGAACATATCGGGGAGTTCTGGAAGATACGGGGAGGTGTTTTCATGTGATCTGGTCTCAGGCTTCATTGAAATTTTAAGGAAAAATATCAGCTGACAGAGTTTTCTTCTGGCCAGCAAAAATGAGGGGAAGATACAAGAGCTTGGTTCGACCTGTGTATTGGAAAACTGAAGCACTCTCTGTTCAAAGACAACAGCAGGTGTTTATAGATTGTCCGTAATCACCTTGTGATATTTCTAGTCATCATTAAAACCTCATGAGAGCTCCTCTCTATCAAGTTTATGCACTTGCAAGCACTGGAGCCCCCCTGAATCAGCTGGGTAAAATGGCCATGGTTGCTGAATCATCTTTAATGATCATGGACAAAACTAAAAACAGACCCTGGTTTTCCTGAGCTTTTTATTCCCATGTCCTGTATTCAATTTTCATTTTTTGAGTAATCATTTTTTAATATGTACTTTAAAAAAGGTCAAATACCGAGTGATTAAAAAGTGGGGAGAATTATAAAATAAAATTACTCTTTCAGAGTATGATTGTTCTTTCTTGCCTTCCCGTGTTTAGGATGATCTACTGTACATCCTGGAGGTAACTCCAAAAGCCAGATTTGTCTAATTTTTTTATGTTTATGTGGGGAGGTGGAATGGTGGTGTGGGGCATGACTTCAAGGAATTATATTTACTCTTTTTAGAATTTAACTGGGAAGTCTGAAGCTTTAGGGAATATATTGATCTTGAGCAAAGAGAAGGGTATTGGTGGAAGAATTTTATTTGAAAGAAATCAAAATATGTTGCCTCTTTGTGAACTAAAAGAAGCCACTTGTTGATTCTGGCAATTTTATATAAATCCTTAATGCTTATATTGCTTTAGTACAAAGCGCTTTATAGCCATAATGTACAAAGAAATGAATTTTTACATAGATTTTGTTTAGCAAGAATGTGGTCTTGTCTAGTAAGAGCACATGACATGAATTTGTTTTAACTAAGAATAAAAAAGAAATTAAAGTCGGTCTTTTTATAGGATCCAGTGATCTACCCTAATTTTTTTTACGTACATTTGACTCTTGAATGTGATCACATAAATTTTAATTCAGAATTATGCTTCTTTCGGTGTTTTGTTTATGCTGTCAATATAAATACAACAAAGATGGAAAAATGATGGACCAGGTATGGTTTTCAGGTGTAAGGAAGTTTAGTTGGCTGTGGTGAAGAGAGCAGATGCTCTCTAGTTAGACCCAGTGGGTCTGGAAGAGCTGAGAAGCGGTCATGCCTTGTTTTTCTCTTCCTTTGGCAGAGGCCATGTGACCTCGTAGGACGAGTGCTGGACAGTGGATTCTGGCTTGGGTTCTGGTCTTTGCTCTTACCTTTCATGTAGCCATAGTTCCATTGCCTATAAAATAGGGAAAAGAGTTCCCACCCAGACTGTGTCCTGAGGTATTAAATGGAAGTACTTTGTGAGCTGTAATGTAAAAATGAAACATATTATTGATGCTCTGTTCAGATCTCTTCTAGAGCTTTGCTTCAATTTGGTCATCAGTATTAAACAGATGAGAGAGAATAAAAAGCACAGGATGTCACTGACTTATTTGGGGTTGTAGCAGGATGTTGTTACCTGGATTAACCTCTCCAGATTCATATCACTGCCTTCTAGACTGCTGGTTTTGAGCAAGGCCTGTTTAAAACCAAACATCTATTTAATGAATAGAGAGTTTCAGTTTTTGAAGATGAAAAAATAAATCCTGGAGATGGATGGTGGTGATGGTTGTACAATAATGTGAATAGTTAATGCCACTGAACTACACACTTAAAAATGGTTAAAATGGTAAATTTTATGATATGTATATTTTATTACAATTAATTATTAAAAATTATATATTAACTGTGTAAAAGTTAAAAAAACAAAAAACTAAACATCTGATTAAGACAGTTTCACTAAGCCCACACTTTCTAAATATAACTTTGTCAAATTTCTAATATCCATTAAAGGGTACAATCATATAAAACCTGTTTTTCCCTTTTCAATCTATTATGATGGACTCTGCACTACATAAGAGGTTTAGTTAATGGTTTATAGAGTGGATGAAATTTGGCCTTTGAGTCAGCTGTCTTTTGAAAACAGTAACTTACTATTTTTGTTATAAATAATTTTCAAAACCAGCACAATCATACTTCTTACCTCTTGTTTATATTGATTCCCCTGGTCTTTCTATTGCCTTTTCTCTCTTCCCCTTTTCTCTTGCTCAGCCATGGCTCTTTAGAAAACTGGAAACAGCTGTAAGTTGCTGAAGGTTTGTCCTGTGGACGGATGTGGCATCATCAGCCCTTTTTATGCACAAGCTGACACGTGTAGCCCGGATGGATCTATAACAATAAGAAGGGTTATCAAATTGGGTTGAGAAAATCTGACCCAATGAACTGACAAATACCCTGACTGATATTAACCTTTTCTCATATTGCTCTCTTAGAAACAGACCAGCACTTTGTGTAAATGTTTCAGCAGCGTTTTTTTCCATCGGACCTCAAAGTGGACATTGTACGGAGTGTGGGTTCGTGGCTCGTTTAACCTCCATTTCCTGCCAGATGACTTCGCCCATGACTTGTGCCAGTTATAAATGGGACAAAATCTATGCGGACAAATAGAGTTGACATTTTATTAACTCTTTAGTGATTTTTTTGCTCTATCTGCTTTAAACTTCAACCTTTAGTTTCTTAGAAGAGGGACAAGGAAAGCAAAGAGCTAGACTATGAGGGTGATAGGGTTTTTATTGTTGCTATTATTGGGCAGGAGGAGGGGGGCTGTCATTTGTTTCAACCTGACTGTGGGCTTCACTCGACAATAAATTAAAACGTCTTTAACATAAGGGGGAGGAGTGGGCTAAGTAAAATATAACTGTAAAATCAAACAAAATGGGGGATGATAGTTTCATTCCTCAACATAATGAGAAGCCTTGCTCTGTAATTGGTTTGTACTGTCTTGGAAGTGGCGTCCGTGGTCCACAAAGGACCACTCTATGAGAGATCTGCAAGGAATTTATCATTCCCTCTGGCTGAGCCAAAGCAGGCTTGATATACAGTTTTGTTTAGTATAAATATTCTCATGTTACTGTTTACTCTGTGGGGATATGAGGATCTCACTGACAGGGTACGTGCTCCACTGCCTTGCTTTTAAAAGGCGTTTATTTGACTCTGTTGTTTGTACTTGCCCAGAAACTTTAGAGAATGGCCCGGGAACTTGTTTGATAAGCATCCAGACCATGCTCCCGGAGTATGTCACGCTCGGGGGTTAGAAAAGCTTATTATTTTAAGCAGGCTGGCACATGGCTTCGAGGGAGCCCATTTTTCATAGGTAAGAACAATTAGGACACTGAGAGCAATCTCTTAGAATGCTCCTTCAAGGTGCAAGGAAGGGTCCTAGTGAACGCGGCTCTGGTTGAACTCAGCCTGACGTTGGATTACTCTGCCACTTCTTTTGAGCTTTTTGCAGCATTTGGAGGTAAACTGGTTTGTTGTGAATTAAGGTGAGAGCCAGAGACCTTAAACATTGGATGAATTTCTCTTTCTAAATGTGTAGCGTGCACACAGTCCAGCTATTGTCTGTCAGCTCCACACTGACCCTTCCCTATGCTTCTTTATGCCACTGGGACTCTGCATAGCGCATTTCTTCCTTGCCAGCTGGTTCCCCACTAGGCTCTGCATATCTGGGGAGAGGGGTGGGGAAACTTCAGGGCCGAAGGAGAAGAGGGGCTTCCTCTTTCCTGTTCCTTCCTGTTTCTGGCAGCCCCACGATGGCAGTGGCTCTTGACCCGACGGTGGGTGGCTCTTGGTTTCAGGCTCCAGCTTTTTGTTGCTGACGCTTTCAGAACTAGCCTCACTGTGCCCCTCAGAAGCACCAGCAGCGGCTGAGCCCCGGCTCTGCAAGGCCTCTCTGCTGAGCTTGGAGGCTCC